GGGGCAGAGGGAGGTCAATGTGGGGGAAAAAAGAGACCTATATACTACTATTTGTAATACCTTAAAAAAAATACATACACACACACACACACACACACACACACACACACACACACACACACTGTAGTGGCCCGGTGCACAAAATTCATGCACATTAAAAGGGGATTAATTAGAGGAAATATTTTAATGTTGCTATTTGCCCTTTCTCCATAATAGAAATGTTAGAGATGAAAGAAAATTAGTAAAATGTATATGAAAATCTTCCTCCTTTCAGAGTCTGGGGCGCACCACAGGACCCAGAGTGAAGTCCCCTCCCATCCACATGCGCCTCAAAATCGCATGAGACCCAGACCCAGCCAGCCCCACCATTGGACTAGATCCAGACTTGGCCGGTCCCACCCTTGTCAAGCCCCACTGGGCGGGGGACGCAGCCTCAGGTATCCTGGCCCAGCTCTGGGGCGGGGGGTGCAGTCTGAGGTCCCCCAGCCCGGGCTAGGCGGGGGGTGCACCTTGAGATCGCCTGTGAAGCCCTGCTGGGTGGGGGATGCGGCCTGAGATCCCCTGTCACACCCCACCAGATGGGGGGCGTGACCTGAGTTCCCCCATCAAGCCCCGCTGGGTGGGGGGTGGGGCGTAGCCTGAAGTCCCCCGTCAAGCCCTGCTGGGCAGGGTTGCAGCCTGAGTTCCCCCAACCCAGCACTGGGGCAGGGGGACGCACCTTGAGGTCTCCTGTCAAGTTCCACCAGGCAGAGGGCGCAGCCTCAGGTCCCTGCTGATTGCTCATTAAGGCTCGTTATGGGAACTCAGCCTCCGCTGTGGGTGCAGCCATCTTGTGTTACCGAAACCCCCACTCCGCTGTGGGAGGCATCTTTGTGGTGGAGTGATGGTCAATTTTCATGGTCCCTCTTTATTATATAGGAGAGATATCTATACTAGAGGCCTGGTGGGGGGAAGGGGGCCCCTCAGTCTGGCCTGCACCCTCTCCAATCCGGGACCCCTCGGGGAATGTCCGATTGCCGGTTTGTGCCCAAACTTTTAACAGATGACAGCCCCATTGTTGTTTCTTTCTTCTCATGCTTAAACCCATTGGAATTAGTAGGTACTCAAAGTGTGTATACATTTTGGGGGGACACCCTGTATATCTCTAGTCAGCGATGAAAGGAAGCAATGCGGATTTGGAACCGCCAGACAGGGAACCTCGCTCACTCCCCACATGTCTCCCCACTTCACTTTCCACCTTCGCGGGCAGCAGGAGAATCAATGTTTTCTCTCATTAACTCAGAAAAGCACGTCCTGTCACCTGCTGCCTGGCAGGAGTGCGCTAGGACCCACGGGAGGGAGGCTCAGTCAGGGCAGCCTTCACTCATGGGCACTGGCACCCAAAGTGCACATTCCTCCTCTGCAGTCACCCCGACTCTTCTGCTGTGTCACTGAGAGGATGGACCTCTTCGCCTCCTCTGGGTTCCCGATCTTGAACACTGACTGAAGGCACCTCAGCGAGGACCCCCTGCACCCACCAGGTGTGTCTATCGACACCTGCTCTCACCTCAGCACCTGCATTAGCCCCACAGAGGCGATCTCGTTGCTGCACTGGCCTCCGTGGGAACAGGGCGTCACCACTCCACCCTCTCACTATCCTTTCACAGGCGCCCACCCCGAGCACCCAGAACACCCTGACTCTCTCCAAAGGACATGAGCGTGCCGGAGGGGACGTGCGCACGTCCTGTGGGGAACGTAGGCATGCTGGGTTTGATGGAAGTGCGGCCGGAGGGGTGGGGGGAACTTGCGCGCCATGGTCCAGGACTTTTGCAGGTGCGCGTGGGTGACTGCACTGGGGGACATTCGCACACCACGGGGGAGGAGAGGATGTGTGCACCGAAGGCCTGTGGCTTCGCAGATCCACAAACACCCATGGCACGGCCAGCAGGGCATCAATCTGGCCCACTATGGCGGCTGTCCCTGCGATCGTGCACCTTCTGGGCCAGGAGGCGGGACTTGTGCAGCCACTCCTCAGCACTGATGGCCTGCAGGCCCTACTTCAGCTCGGCCCACAGGCTCCACTTGGCACGCTCACAGCTCCCGCCACTGCCATGTGGGGAGTATAGGCCGCCCTCTGCCGGCCCGCCTCCCCCGCCCAGAGGTTCTCCACATGCACATCCTCTCCTCCTCCCCTAGTGTGCAAACGTCACCCACACTCGAATACAGTCTAATTTACCTATGCACGTGCACTGCCCACCAGCCCAGAGCAGCCGGGGCCAGACTCTCCTCACCTGTGCACGCTGCCCACCGGCCTGGAGCGCACTTCCCACCAGCCCAGAGCGGCGGGGGCGCCTCCGTGCTGCCCACAGGCCCTCCGCAGGCAGGGCGGAATGCCTGCATCGTCGCCGTGGCAACGACAGAAGCATCCTGGCCCGGCCGCCATCATCTTTGTCATGCAGTGACCCTCAATTTGCATATTTTCTCCTTATTGGCTGTGGGCACCATCATCTTTGTTGTGGAGTGCTGGTTAATTTGCATATTACTCTTTTATTGGATAGGATAAAAGATGCAGCATTTTGGAAACTAACTCAAAGAGGGGGTTCATCATGCTTATTGTCCCCAGAGCCCTGGAGGTCGGTTAAAAGTGCCCGTTGGCCAATCTTCCCAAATTGTCACTGTGCCCCTTCCTGGGCAGAAAAGACCCGAATGTCTTTGTGTCCCTGGTCCCACACTTTTCCCTCCTTGGCCTTTCAAACAGATGTTTTTGATATTTTGTCCAGCTTTTTCTAGTTGACCTCAGCGGTTGGCGCCAGTTACAGTCCAGCAGTACTCGAAGGGTAAGCCCAGCCCTCTCATTCTATGTCAGATACTAGTATACATACATATTTATAGTTTTGTCCATCTGATGAGTAAAAAAACTGTTTCACTGTTATAATTTGCATTTCCTTGATTATTAATAAGGTTTAACAAGTTTTCAGGTATTTTTTGGCTATATTTCTTTTTCAATTTATTTGGTCCCCATCTTTTGGGGGTTCTTTTCTTTTTCCATATTGAACTAGCACTTTTTATAGTCTTGATGTTGATCACCTGTTATATGTTGCAAATATTTTCTCCCATTCTTTCACGGGTCTTTTACATTCATTATGACTAGATCATATAAAAGATTTTAATTTTTAGGTATTCAAATCATTTAGTCTTTTATGGCTTCTGAGTTTTATGTCTTCCAGATCAGGACATGCTAAATATTTTGTACTTTGTTTTTCATACGTATCTCTTAGGAATTCTTTGGACGTCATTTGTTATGTACTTTGTGAAATACCCATTTCTTAGCAAAATGAATAGTGTCAGGAGAGGAGCTCCTTTTTCATTCTACTTGTAAACTCTAGGTTTCCACAGGCCCGGACCGGCAGTCAGTAGGCCTGCGTGCCGCACAGCCTGGCTTGGGCAGGCAGACCGGGGAGGTTTCTCAGGGTGGGTCCTCTGGGTGAGTGACAGGGGAGTGGCTAACGGGACAGGTCTGTCACCACAAACCAGCCTGTGAGAACATGGAAGGCCCACTTCATGTTTTGTAACTAGTTCATTTTTGTAAAAGTGAGAGCTATTCAAACTAAACATTCAAATGATATAGGAAAGTTCAAAAGGGACAGAATGTCCCGAAGTCCACCTGGAGGCAGCCCTCTCTGGGGATCTTTCTGTGTCTTTAACACATGTGAGCACACGCGGCTTTACAAGTCAGATCCTGCACACCTCGTGCGTGTAGTCTGCGTGGCAGCCCCGCAGGTGCGTTCCTGGCCCGTTCACACACATCCACGTGTGCTGCAGCTGGTGTTGAGCTTAAGCTGCAGAGCCGAGGCTGGTGTCGTAGGGCCTGTCATCGCCCAGCCGGGTCTTGTCTCTGCATCCATCCAAGATCCGAGCCTGCATCCCGTGGGGCTGGCGTGATGGAACGCAGCTTGGAGACCCTGTCTGCAGCATCCTGCCAGGGGTCTGCACAGCCTGTGGGGTGAGAGGGCCCGAGGCGTGTCCTGCTGCCAGGCTGCCCGTGGGGGACGCTGCACTCCCTCCTGAGGTTGGAGGGATGTCACTGGCCGGCACAGCAGGCGCTGAGGCCACCTACCGCTCTTTCTTCTAAGGCCTGTGGCTGCCTCCCTGAAGACGAATCCCGGGTTCGGAATCGGGGTCCACACCCCGCTGGAGGGGCGAGGGCAAGCTGGGCCTGCCGCTTCCTTCCTTCCTGGTCCCTCTTGCTGTGGTTCTCCCTGGTGTTTGCGGAGGTCTTGCTACTCTTTTCCAGCAGATGGCGCTGCATCGCAAGGTTTTTTTACCTCTGTGGTCTCCCGGAGGTGAGCCTGCGAGGCTTCCCTAAGATGGTACCGCCCTGCTGCTTGGGGTAGGGTTTGTTTTGCCCTCACTGTAATGGGGTCCCCCCCAAGTACCCCTCTTGGGAAGCAGTCACAGGTGGAAACCAGTTCTACTGCAGTAGCTCTTGGCTTCCAGATCATATGCTCCTGGACCCGGCACCAAGGGCCACGGGAGGCGAGTTTGTGGAGTCCACGCGCGGCAGGGCTCTGGTTCTGTTTCTTTGTCTGAAACCCCACTGCTGGCCTGACAGTGGGAAGCCACAGGGTAGAAGCCTTGCTCTTCCAGGCATCTGCTGGCTCCGTCCCTGTTTGTTTCCTCGCCACTCGCCCTGCTGGGCTGCCCTTCCCCACCCCCAGCAGCTCTCTGTTCCTCCCTCTCCCAGCCTGGCCACCTGGGCTTTCCTCTCCTCTGGCCTCCCCGTGCCTCCTGGCTGCCCACCTGTAGCTGTTTCGGTGGCGGGTCTCAGGTGTGTGTCTGTGTTGAGCAGGGTTTCTCGGTTGACTTACAGTTGGGTAACTTGTTGAAATTTCAGGGGGAGAACAAGGTGCACCCTCACGCTGCCACTCCTCCAGTCACCCCTGCAGCTTGCTCCCCCCAAGCTCCGGGGCTGGTTCCCAGACTCCCAGAGGAGGTGCCAGCTGACCTCTCCTTGCCCGCAGGTGCAGCAGTACCGGGTGGCCATGACGGCGAAGGACTGCTCCATCATGATCGCGCTCTCCCCCTGCCTGCAGGACGCCAGGTGAGGGCCCGGGCCTGACGCTCTGGCCAGATGGGATTTTGTGGATTCAGAAGAGGGTTTTCCCACATTTAGAGATCACAGAAGGTTGTAATTCGCTATAAAAAGGCATGGAGAATAATTTTAAAAGATTGTTCTATTTAACTGAAGGTTATTATACCATTTTCTAAGAAAATACTCTAAGGACTTAGAAGCAGTTTGGATTCTGTGTGCAAATTCCTTTCTCTCAAAGAAGCCCGCTGCTGCCACGGCCAGGGGCCTGAGGAGCTGTTGCCCTGGTGTAGTCTGGCCTCGGTCAGGTGACACCTGCAAGCTGGGCGCAGTCTACTTCCATCTGTAGCATCGTCCTGAGACCCCGTCGTCACCCTGCCTCCTCCCAGCCTCTTTTAGGAATTCAGGATCAACCTGCGAACCTTCTTAGTCACAGATGGTGTCATCGGCATTGCTCTCGGGGCGCCAGCCCCCAGTGTCTGCGGAACATCCTCGTTCTGGCCGGGGCATCTGGCACTGGCTACCACCAGGTTTTCTGCTTTTGACCTAACATCCCCAGGAGGCCCGCTGCCGGACAGGCACTGAGCTGTCCGTTTGCTGGTCAGGAAACATGGAGGGACATTTATAGGGTAAAATTGAAATACAGAAAAAGATGGTTCTGTTTGGTTGAAAACCACCATTATCCCCAAAGAAGAGGCCACAGTGCTTACCTACGAGGACTCCATTGGCTGGATTAGCTGGTGCTGCATGAGAGGAAACCACAGAGATGCTACATTCTCCCACCTGCCTGACGCAAGGGTACAGTCGGGGAACAGAAATTACCCTCATAAAAACGCATGGACAGGAGCCAGGTCACGTGTCCAGAAAGTTCTGAAACATGGGCACCAGTCTCAGCCCAGGGTGGCCAGGGTTAGGTGTCAGGAGCCATGCCCTGGACTCCTGGGGACCTTCTGGCCGACAAAGGGTCTGAGTTTTCATGAGGCGGCCCTGCTCCCATGCTCCCAGCAGCTGGTGATGGGCTCACCTCATTTTGGTGCTGGTTCTAAAGGGAGAAATGGAGGTGTCCTTGAAACTGTGTAGTTCTGTCCAGGCCCAGCTGCACTGAGCTCGGGATTAAGACCCGGGGAGGAGATGGAAGCAAGCCCTTGATGTGCAGACGTGTTCCCTGCTCTGCGGGGGAGGCGGGGGGTGGGGAGGTTTTGCTAAGAACCCGCAGGAGCCCAGGTCCCTGTCCTGTCAGCTGGGTCTCGAGTAGGAATGAGTCAGAGTTCAGGCCGATCAGCATTGTCTGCACAGGAGCCTGCTCGCTGCTTCCTGCTCAGGCAGAACTTTCGAAATGGGTGTTTTGTTTGTTTGAATTTTTTTTTTAAGGTGCTACTTTTATCATTTTTTAATATATATATATTTAAAATATCTATTTATTGATTTCAGAGAGGGAGAGATTGCAACATCAGTGATGAGAAAGAATCATTGATTGGCTGCCTCCTGTACGCCCCCTACTGGGGATCGAGCCTGCAGTCCAGGACCTCCTGGTTCATAGGTTGACTTGTTTTTTGATGATTTCTAGCTAGTAGTTCAGCCTGGGGAGAGCACGGCTCCTGACTGACTCCCTGCAGCCGCATGAACTCGTCTCACGCCCGTGCCAGTCACCTTGCTGCCGACTGTGCCCTGAGCGTGCTCCACAGCAGCCTGAGCACAAAGTTCAGACTCAGTCTCGGGGTCTTCAAGTACAAGTCATTGTCCACAGAGCGTTCAGCCTGTGACTTCTGATATTTAGAAAAACTAAGCACTAAGAGACAGAACACAAAACACTGCAGACTGAGTCGAGAATAAACCCGCAGGCAGCTGTGAGCAAGCAGAAAGGAGCGGGGCGTCTGCTCCCAGCACGTTATCATCCACTTGGCTGTTGAGTGGCCAGATCTTCCTGCTCTTTCTTAGGTTTCGTAATAGTTGGCCCAGCATTCGCTTCTACCACTGGGATAGGGGGCAGGTCACAGATATCCTAGTAATTTGTTTTTCATCTTTCTGCACATTAACCCTTTCTTACCTGGGCACTAGCAGGTCCCACAGCAGAAGCTTTGAGCGCTGTGCACACCACGGACAGACAGGGTGCATGTAGGCGCAAGAATGGGTGCTCTTTGTGAGCAAGGAGAGGGTTGGGAGCACTGACATTGCTTTTTGTTTTCAGCTCTGACCAGAGGCCTGTGGTCCCTGCGTCGCGGTCCAGGTTTGCCTTCTCCGTGTCTGTGCTGGACCTTGACCTCAAGCCCTACGAGAGCATCCCGCATCAGTACAGACTGGATGGCAAGATCGTCAGCTACTACTCGAAGGCCGTGCGCGCCAAAGACGCCGCCCCGGTGTCGGCCAGGCTCAAGGAGAGCGAAGACTGCACCTTAGTTCTCCATAAGGTCTAGCTTTTCTCCTGTGGTGTCTTGAAACTTGAACATGGGATGTGAAGGTTGAACGATAGCGCTTTGTGGTGGGTGACTGGCTGTGAATGTTGTTGCTTTCTAACCACTGTTTGGGGCTGCTGCTGGGATGCAGGATGGAGGCCCCTCCCAGGGCAGGCGGGCCAGGGGGGCTCTGCATTGTGTCCTGGCGCCTCGGGCAGCTTCCTCCTTACCCAAGGCTCATGTCTAACCTCTAATGCAAACGCCTGATTGTAAGACCCAAGGTTTGGATCTCCTACCACCAGGCTCTTAGCACACGGAACACGGACTGTCATGTAGATCTTACAATTTGGCCTTTTAAGAAAACAGGGATCCTACTGGAACTGCCTCAGCTGAGTGGCCAGCCACACGCCAATCAGCACAGGCCCGTGGCTCCTGCAGGTGAGGGCACAGTGCAGATGGCCACCCTTCTGCGTGGGATCAGAGGGGCCACGGGACTCAGGTTGGGCAGACACCGTCACGTGAGCACCAACTCCTTTCCTTTCCTGAGTGACGCCACTCTGAACTGCGGGGAGGCGCCAGCCCAGTGCCTCTGCCCTGGGCCTCCCTTGGGTGCTGGGCCGCCTCTGCAGGGCTGACGCCGCTGGTGCAGGAGGAGCGGCCCTGCTGGCGCCCCGGGCTCTTGGGCTCCCCAGGCGCCAGGCTGCTGTGAACATGCGAGTCCTGGTGGCAGGTTCACTCCATTTTCGGTTGTACAGACTGATTATTTATAGCATCATTTTGAGGGATTAATGAAGGCTCATTGTAATATATTATGTTAGTGAAACCGTGGAATTATATGAAAATGCTACATGAAATATAAGGAGAATATTTTGCTGATTGTAAATTTTTGTGGGGAAATTTTGTGATAATTTGAGAATTACACTTGTTTGAATTACGCCAGTTTTTCTAGAATTTATTCTTTAATTCTGTCATAACATTTACTTCTGTACTCAGAGGGTCGGAAAAATACTCAAGTGCTGCCCATCTTCTCCTGTTAGTGTGGGGGCAGGAGGCGTTAGACTCCACCTGCTGGACGCACATAGAGCTGGGGCTCACGGGTGGGACAGAGGGGGGGCTAGGTGGGGGGGGGCGGGACGGCCCAGGCCTGTGGGGGACAGTGGGTCTCGCTGTCCCACTGCAGGTTGAAGTGCAGACTTGCTGTTTTGGGTCAAGAAGAGTGCGTTTCAGGACTGGCTGAGGGGAGCAGCTTTCCAGCTCGGGAGGCCAAGGGGAGGGGAGAGCCTCCCGGGGGTGGGAGGGGGCACAGCTGCTCCTCATGTGTCAGGCTTTTCATTTTGTGTTTAAACAGCTGTCTGTGTTTTTCATGACCTGACAGTTGACAGATCATGTGTCACCACTGCACAGGCGTGTGCTGGGGGGGTGGTTGCTAAGTCGGCAGCAGCCAGTGTTTCTAGTCAGTAGCAACACTGAGTGCTGGGTGGGCACCGGGGTTTCCCTCCGCAGAGCAGCCTCAGCAGGCTCTCCAGAGCCGCCTCGATGCCCAGCAGGCCCAGCAGGGCCCGGAAGTGGAGAGGAGCAGCTGTGACTGCTCCCTTCTGGTCCAGCTCCAGGGCTGTAAGGAGAACACACTGGGTCAGAAACAACCGGCCGGGACCCTGCCCACCTCCCCTGTTGCTGCTGTGCCAGCCGTCAGCACAGCCCAGCCCACAGACACAACCCCCTCCCCACACTGTGCAGCCGCCCAGGAGGCCTGGGCGCAGGGCCTCCACGGGTGCTTCTGGAGTGTTATTGATCAGAATATTTTTTAAAATGACATAAAAAGTACACTGAGATTTTCAGCCTTTGATTGTTGCCATGTGAACCAGGTGAAATCAGTGGGTGTCCCTGCTGGGCACTAAGACTGCAGAGCCCGCTGGCCTACCTACCTCGCTGTGGCACTTGGGTGAGAAGATCCAGCTTCGGCAAAACCTTCCCTTCTTCATCTATGTGCATCCTCCAGACGATGACCAGCTCAAACCTGAAAGAGGTCAGAGCCGCCCCCAGGTGCCTTGAAGCGTGACTGTGCCGTAGGAAGGAGGCCCCGCCCAATGCAGGCGCTGCCCCAGCTGAGCTGAGCTGGCCCCCTCTTAGACACTCACCCACCCACAGGGTCAGTCCTGGACAAACAGGGCCGTGGCCAGGAAGGCCTCAGGGAGGTGCTGTTGTACCCACTAATACTAGGATGACAGTACAAGTACAGGATGGGGAACAACAGGAACTTACACTTTCCTGTGGGAAATAAGTTGGTAAACTACTTTGAAAAGAATCTGGTGGTGCCCTGACCGGTTTGGCTCAGTGGACAGAGCATCGGCCTGCGGACTGAAGGGTCCCGGGTTCGATTCCGGTAAAGGGCATGTGCCTTGGTTGTGGGCACATTCCCAGTGGGGGTGTGCAGAAACAGCTGATCGATGTTTCTCTCTCATCAATGTTTCTAACTCTCTGTCCCTCTTCCTTTCTCTCTGTAAAAAATCAATAAAATATATATAAAATATATATATATAAAAAAAGAATCTGGTGGTAACAGAAAGCTGAGTCTACGCTATGGCCCAAGGATTGCATGTCTAAGCATATGCCCAGAGAAGCTGTGTCCGCATGGGCCCGGGACATGGACAGGTTAGACATGGTGGGAAGCAGTGAATAACCCAGATGCTCTAAGGGACATGGGCATGCACACATTCGTCCCGCAGAGTGCAAGCTGACATGGCCTCCAGCCACAGGCTCCAGCTGTGAGGGATGGACACGTTCCCTTACGACAGGGCGAGTCCCAGCAGCCTGCATAATTGTGAGGCTTGAAAACAAACCCAAACCTCGGCAGGCACTCATGCCAGTCACCAGGCCCTCCCACCCCAGCAGATCCGTGCCCCCAGGCGCCCAGCGCAGTGAAGGCCAGGTGGTCCTCCCTCCATCAGAGCTTGCTGACCCGTCCCTGATCCCTCTTCACCCACGTGCCCCTCCTCTTCTGCTGCCGTCGGTGGGTGTGCACCTGTTAGGGCGCCACAGAGGTTTCTTCAGGTGTCGGCAGCTCGCATTTGCCCTCTACATTTGTAATCCTTGTTTTCACCAGGAAATACCATCTGGTTGCAGGGAAGGGACTTGGCGAGCAAGGAAGCCGACGCCCACGGGCTGTGCACTCACCCTGGCTGGCTGGTACTCCGGATGCTCATGCAGCTGGAGGAGGCCCCCTCAGGGAGCTGCACAGCTGCTGGGTACTTCTCCTGGGGGAGAAGAAAAATTAAGTACTTTTAAATCATTTTTTGTTTTTCAATTACAGTTGACAATATTATATTAGTGTCCAGTGTACACCCAGTGATTAGACATCACATACCTAAGTGATCATCCCAATAAATCACGTACCCATTTGACACACTTATTACAATATTATTGACTATGTGAACGTTACATCCCAGGGACTATTCTGTAACAGCCAATTTGTACATCTTAATCCATTCACCTTTTTCACTGGGCCCCCACCCCGTCGCAACAAACTGTTCTCTGTATCTATCATTGTGTTTCTGTTCTGCTTGTTCATTTATTTTGTTGTGTGTTTTTTTAGATTCAATTGTTGATAGATATGTATTTATTGCCATTTTATTGTTCATATTTTTAAAATCTTCTTTTCTTCTTCAAGACCCTTTAACATTTCATATAATACTTGTTTGGTGGTGAACTCCTTTAGCTTTTTCTTGTCTGTGCAGCTCTTTATCTGTCCTTTGATTCCAAATGATAGCTTTGTTGGATAGAGTAATCTTGATTGTAGGTTCTTGCTTTTCATCACTTTTAATATTTCCTGCCACTCCCTCCTGACCACAAAGTTTCTGTTGAGAAATCAGCTGATATTTGTATAGGAGCTCCCTTGTAGGTAACTGACTGCTTTTCTTTTGGTGCTTTTAAGATTCTCTCTTTTTAACCTTTGGCCTTTAAATTATGATGTGTCTTGGTGTGGGTCTCTTTGGGTTCATCTTGTTTGGGACTCCGCTTCCTGGACTTGTAAGTCTATTTCCTTCACCAGGTTAGGGAAGTTTTCTGTCATTATTTCTTCAGATAGGTTTTCAATTCCTTGCTCCCTCTCCTCTCCTTCCAGCACCCCTGTAATGTGAATGTTGGTACGCTTGAAGTTGTCCCAGAGTCTTCTTACACTATCTTCATGTTTTTGGATTTCTTTTTCTTTTTGCTCTTCTGATTGGGAGTTTTTTGCTTTCTGATATTCCAAATTGCTGATTTGATTCTCTGCTTTATATGCTTTACAGTTGACTCCCTGCAAGTTATTCATTTCAGTTAGTGCCTCCATCATTTCTGGTTGTTGTTTTTTTGTTTTGTTTTTTTTTATGGTTTCCATGTCTTCTTTTTAATACTGTTAAACTTGTAAGTTCATTGAGCATCCTTGTAACCAATGTTTTGAACTCTGCCTCTAGTAGATTACTTGTCTCGATTTTGTCTAGTTTTTTTCCTGGAGTTTGTTGTTTTATTTGGGACATGTTTCTTTGTGTCCTCATTTTGGCAGCCTCTCTGTGTTTGTTTCTATGTATTAGGTAGAGCTGCTACATCTCCCAGGCTTGGTAGAGTGACTTAATGTAGGGTCCAGCGGCACAGCCTCCCCTCCAACCCAATGGGCTGTGTACACCCTCCTGTTGTAGTCAAACCTGGATTGCTGTTGGCACATTAATGGCAGGGATTTACCTTCAGGCCGATGGCTGCTATCAGTGACCACAGACCATAGGATCAGCTGTCCAGGGGCCCACCCCACAGAGCAGGACTTACTTCAGCAGAGCTCTGGTGCTTGCTGAGTTTGCCCCTTGAGTGTGTTGTTTGTGGAGGTGGTTGAACGGTGCTTCAATGTGGTCTGAAGCTGTCCACTGAGTGCGCTGACACTGGGGCCTCCTAGGGCATCCAGGCCATGATCAACACCATCTGTGTTCTGTCTGGGGCCATTTGGCATGAGCTACAAAGCAATCTGCAGATGGCTGCTCCTTGTGCTGGGCTTGGATGTGCCCAGAAGACAAGCTGTGAACCAAGGCTGGCTGCTGCTAGTACCAGGCCTGTGGCCACTTACCAAGAAGTCCATAGCATGCTGAGACCAAATGCTGCTTGTTTGAAGGATTTTAGTTGAGTCTGAAGCCTGAGCCAGGACAGAATTCATTGGTATGGAAGAGCCACTGCAAACAGCTTGCGTGGGCCTCAGGGAATTCTCCATGGTGAGGCGAACAGTGTGAGCCAGGCTGATGGAATTGATGGAATCTAAGATATGGCACCCATCTCTGGCTCTGTGGGGGGAGGGCTCAGAAAAGGAACAGTGACCTCTGCCAGCACTTCTGTCTGGGAGAAAACTGCCCTCCCCCCAGTTCCTTCCCTGATGCCAGACAATGTAGTTGCTCCTGTATGGCCCTGTGGCCTTTCAAGCTGCTGCCCCAGTGCTAGAGCTCAGAGGGAATGAGTCCGAGTAAGTCTGTGTGCTAGCCCTTTAAGAGGAGCTGCCTGGGTCTCCAGCAGCTTTCATGTGACTCAGCCACAAACCCCACTGGTTTTTACAGCCCAGAGTTACAGGGATTAATCTTCCCAGCACTGGAACCCTGGGCTGAGGGGTCTGGTATGGGGCTGGGACACCTTGTTCCTCAGGGGGACCTCCGTAGCCAAGATTTCCCTCCCAGTTTTATTGGCCACACATGGGTGTGGGACCAACTCATTCTGCAGTGACTCTGCCTCTCCTACTAGTCTTGATGTGGCTGCTCCTTTAAATCCCTAGTTGTAGGAATTCCATTCAGCCAGATTTCAGGCAGTTCTGAATGACGGTGGTTCTGTGGTTTAGAAGCCCCCTTATCATTTTTCCACGAGCAATCTGTGGGGCACAAGGATGCTGATCCAGGGGACTGGAAAGAAGTGGGAGACCCCTGTGAGGCG